TTCCACAAGTAATTACTTAAGTAATTGTAGTTCGTATGTGGCAGATCTGAGACTGTATAGTAGATTTTTTTATTCCCCTATTCTAAGCTTTAAGTGCTGAGAAAGAAAAACTTGCAGTCTGAAGAGGAGGGAAACTTCACTGAATTAGTCCAAGCTACTTCTGTTGTTTATGTACTGGCACCCTTTGTCTTTGCTGATTGGTTTTATCTCGCTTTTCCTCCCAGAGTAACATGCAGATGCAGGTTTTTTTTTTTGGATTTTAATTCTTCAACCTGAGGTCTTAAATCTCCACAGATAATTTGGGTTTCAAACTCATTTGATTTCATGAGGTATCTAAATACTTTCCACTTTGGGCTTCTACTGTTGCCAAACTGTTTTCACGATGTGATGTGAATTGTTTATATAATTGACCATAATCCCCTATTTTTTTCTTCTCTAAATAACTGTGGCTGAAGGATGCTCTGACAGCATGATCCCTTAGAGATGCAATCCTGATCCTGCAGGAATCAAGGGAACCAGGATTTCACTGTAAGTTTAGTGTACTAACTTAATGATTAAATCAGCATTGTGTGTCTCAAGTGAAGAAAGCAAGCAGAAAAAAAAAACCCGGTGGTACTTAGAGTGCTTTATGTGCTTCAAATTATTTTCCATACATTTAACTAATTACATAAACAGATGATATTTACAGGGGACTTCTGGCTATAATTGACCTTCATCTTTTCCTGTGCACTTCCCAGCCTCTCCTTGAATTTTCCTATTGTTTCCTCTTAATCATTCCACATTTAACACCATGTTTCAGGCAGTCCTTTTCTCTTGCTTGGGACCATCCTACCAGTTCCATAGAGGCCAGTATTCCCAACTCCTTTTAACTTCATCTTCTCAGCCCGATTTTGTTGGCAATTTTGGAACTCATAGTGTGGACAAACATATCTCCTCCAAAGCCCAATCTTCAGGCCTCCCACCAGTTGCAGCACGATTGCTCTTCTCCTTTTACGTGATCATCAGTTCTTTGGAACAGGGGTGTTGCTTTCCGTCTTTTATCTTGTGTAACAAATTGCTTTTCAGAAGTTGCAGCAACGCAGTACACATTTAAGTATGTATATCTTATTTTTCTTTGAAATTTTTATATGTGTGTGTTGGTGCAAGCAGGGGAGGAGTTGCATAAACTGTGAGTCTCCTGTTGAGAGGTTAAAGAAAGAGACTCTAAACCACGTTTAGAGTTCAGCGGTGTTCCCATGGCTACTAGGACAGGTACATCACGGGAGGGGGAACACTTCTGGCATTTAACAGCCCTTCCAGGTGATTTATGGTTTCACATAAGCTTTTCCTAAACTGAGAGGTTTTCTAGGGTTGGCACCTCTCTGCTTGTCTCCATGCCCTGTTAGTTCTGTGTTCAGTGGCCCGTGGTTATTAAAATTCTTATCAATAAAGGAGTTTCTGAGCAAGGTTCTTATTTTCTGGGATCATGCATACCTTCTGAACTCCTCAGCTTAACCAAAGGAACTTTTTTTTTATGCCTAATGTATTTTATAAAATAAATGTGTAGAGTTCAAGCAGTATTTGCCTTGAATTACAGTAATTAAGTTGTCAGGACTTGGAAGTCACCAAGGGAATGAGAAAATCCTTTCCTGGTTGGCCAGGGGGTAATTGGTGTTCTGGTCACAAGTACGTTTTACATATTGGGGTGGGGAGGGAAACTGTTCTGGCTGGCATCTGCGGCAGAAAACCTGGGAGACTGTTTGTCATTTTGCAATACAAGGTGTCAAAAACCTGCTGTGGGTAGAAGGAAAAGGAAAAGAAAGTGACCTGTTTAACTCTGCTTTAGCAGGGCATCTATTTTTGATCTGCACTAACTCTGCTTGCTTGGGTTGGGTTGGGAGGTATATCTTATTAAAAAGAGAGTGACTACAAGCGTAGCTCAATCCATTTATTCTGTGGATTCTATCTTGTCAAACTCCTACTGCGGCTCCCCTTCCAAATGTAACCGATATGTATAGATATGTGTCAATACATGGGGGTTTTTCCCCACGTTCAACATCTCTTTGCAGACTTCTTTGCCAGAAGTCGAATAGTTTCAGTTACTTCATAAACTTACCTGAAGGTACACTACAAGGTATACCTACAAGAAAAGTACTTAATTTTTATAAGTGCCCACACAAACATTACTGGAATCTCAAGTGTAGTGTTACTTTCGTTCCACTGGAATAGCTCTCTTGAAAGCAGATGTATGAGGAAATGGCTACTCGTAATGCATCACTAATGACACAAATTTTTGCGTTCCTGCTCATGTGAGTAAAGGTTATGGATGCATAAGGAGTCAGACCTGCAAAACCTTACTCACAAACCCTAATAAACCCCACTTCAGCTAGCAAGTTTAATGATGCCCTGAAGAGAGCCAGATCACTTATCTACACCATCATGCAATAACTATGAAGTGTTGAGATAAGTGGTTTTATATCTCCCAGTTTTCTGCTGGCCTTCACCCTGTGTATCAGTTTATGCCAGTGGAAGTGGGCATGAAATATTACTGCTGTGATTTGGTTGCATTTTATAGTCACTCCAGTTCACATACAAGATGCATGGGTAGAATGAATGCTCTTATCTGTGCATTTATGAATGGAAAAACAGTGAAGTATCTCTGTCGTACTCACCACATTTGACTGTAATAGCTGTGGATTACCTCCCGTTCAAGAAGCATGTTTTAGGACAGATGTTGGTAAGGATTCTGCACGATTCTTACTCGCTCAGCTTTTCCCATCGAGGGGAGTGTGCTTGGTTACCTGCAGTTTGTACAAAGCTTTAAAAAAAAAAGCAATGTAAAATTTGGGACACGTCCAAGAGTCATTTCTGACTTTTGCCAAGCAAAAGGATATGCCACAAAGGGTTATTTTTGAGTGCTTCAGTATCCGTGTAAACAAGTCTGAACTTCAGCTGCCTTTTTATCGAGGGGGGTATGCTTGGTTACCTGCAGTTTGTACAAGGCTTTAAAAAAAAAGCAATGTAAAATCTGGGACACGTCCAAGAGTCATTTCTGACTTTTGCCAAGCAAAAGGATATGCCACAAAGGGTTATTTTTGAGTGCTTCAGTATCCACGTAAACAAGTCTGAACTTCAGCTGCCTTTTTGGCTTGTTTATTTTGTAAGTCACAGATAATTTAACAAGTTCTGTATTTTCATCTTGTTGCATTTTTTGCTTTTTCAGAGTCAATTCTCTTCATGCCATACATAACATCCAGCTCCAGAGCTATACTTTGCTTTTTGTTTTATATTTACTTTCTAGATGCTAGACTCTCTTTATAGATACTCACCTGCAGCTAGAGTTCAGCAGCTATTTATTTTGTGTATGCAGAAGCCTTGTAAGATCTAACCTGTGATGTTGTTTTTGCCATCTGATAAGGTATGATCAAATGGAGCATGTTTAAATAACAACATCTAGGACACAATGACAGTAAACCAGCTACGAAACAAACATTTCTAAAGATCAGATAAGATGGAAGAGATGCATCAATGCTGGATTGCTCTGTGTATCATAAGTTCTTGCACTTTGCTGTAGAGGTATTCCAGGCATGGGATTTCCTGTATGCCACAGGCTAATAGATCGTACTGTGTTATTTTTCATGTTCTTTTATATCTTGTAGAGACATGTGCCTTTGCAAAGTGAGTGTAATACAGAGAGTATGATAGTATTACACATAATCTGCATGAGTTGCACAGGAGTAGGTAAACAGTAAGAAATTCAAAACAACAGAGAATTGTCTTGCTCTGTATTTTCTTGCTGCCTTCCATACTGCAACCTCTTCTCCCTAAACCTACGCTATCTTTTGCATTAAGGGCTGCCTCTCGCTTCTGCCAAAGTCTATACTTTTATAATTATTTTTCAAAGCACCTTATGGTTTTTAAATGTTTTTCTTATTAGTGTGCAAAAAAATAACATTATGTTTAAAGCTATTATTTCTGACTCTCACTCCTGCTCCTCTTTGTTCACCTGCAGGAGGATATTACCGATGCCAAGTCTCAGGAAGAGAAGAAGAGAAACCACTGGCTATCTGAGCCTGCAGACGGTTACAATACAGTGAAGAGTGTTCTCACTGTACAGGAGTATTTCGCTAAGCGCATGGCAAAACTGAAGGGATCCCAGAATGAAACGGAAACAAAGGTAGACAATTCCTGCCCAACAGCTGACGAAGCTTTGGAGCCTTCAGAAGAACTGAAAACCAAAGTCAAAAAGAAAAAGAAGAAGCAGAAGAGAGATGAGGCAGAGAGTACAGAGTATTGCGAGAAACCAAAAGTGAAACAACCTAAGATAGGTAGCTTGAATGGAAAGGAACTGGATGCTTCATTAAATGAGTGTCGCTCAGGGAAAAAGAAAAGGAAACATAAAGAGCAGCACAAAGGGGAGAGCATTAGTTGTGATGAAAATATGGGCAATGGAGAAATTTATATGGGAATATCTGATGGGGAAGATCTCGGCATAAAGGACTATGAAGCAAAGCAAAAGAAACACCATAAGAAGAAACACAAAAGGCAAAAAGAGGAGACAGATGAGTGTATCGAAGGAGCGCAAAGAAAGCAAAAGAAGCACTGCAAGCACATTTAACCATTTAAGAGTCAAGCTGGGACTCTGAGGTGATTTGAACTTTAGCATGTTAGAGGAGAAGTCTGTGTAAACACACCAGCCAGACATCACGTTGTAATCCAGTCTTGAGCACACTGCTCTACCTCCAACGGAAGCCACAGACTGTGTTTAAATATAGCTCTTTCAAGGAAGAACATGGTGACAGGCCAACATGAGCTTCAGCACCATGTTAAAAAAGGCTCCATGTGTAGGGCCAAGGCTTGCATGTCTGCAAAGCAGGACTTGATAAAAAACAGTTAGGCTTTGCCTCTTCCAGTATGGCAGACGGTTCACCGTAGTGGCTTTGCAAGAGCTATGTTTTAACACAGCAGACCCTATGCTGCCTTCAGCCCAGGTGCACTCTGGTGCAACGCCGTTCAAGTCAGATAACAGCAAGCAAAAGCAGGCCTGGTTTTAACTGCTGTGGTTAAGACTGTGAAAGCCAGTGAATTACTATCTGCTGCTTCACACGGACTGCGTTTTTCGCAATCAAGGTGGGCGGTGGGGGGGGAGTCACCCTGCCACTGCCTTTATTATTAAAGCCACTGTTGTTTCCACTTGTGGTAGCCCAGCTCTGCTTTTGGAAACAGGAGGGGTTTTGCAAAGCTGTATGTATTGATTTTTGTATCCATTGATTTTTGCAGTCCTGTCTAATTTTTTCATTGATCTCCTTTTACATATAAAATAGTTGTTGTTTCTTAGCAAAATACTTAGTCTAATTAAAGGTTTACACCTGAGCGTCAGTACTAAAGAATGAAAGAAAAAACCCTCCCTTTATTTCCTAACCAGTAGTTAACTACTGTCGAGCAATTGTAACTTTGCAACAAAGGTAAAGGAGCTGTGCCTTTATTAACCATATCTAAATCTTTGGTTCCCAGGCAACATTCACAGTACCTTCAGTGGTGCATCTGGAATTCAAAAAGTTGCCTTGGATGGAGCAAGGTTTTCTGTGAAATTAGGAGACCAAACAGATTTTAAAAGCATAGCTGGTCAGATGCATTAGTATTGCCATTTATACATTGAAAATCTGCAATTTAGATTTATAACCAAATTAGAGCTTGTTTCTGTTTGTAAACCTGGAAATAAGTAATGCTGGAACTCAGCACTACCACCAGCGGTTTTGTATGAGAGCTTAAACATTCGGGATGGATTTTGGCATCTTCATCTCACTCAGCTAAGTGCTGTCAGAAGAGATGGGTGAGCTTGGAAGTAAAGTGGTGGAACGGGAAGAAGCACTCACCATCCTCGAGTCTGGTTCTGGTACTGCTTTGGCCACAGCAAATTGACAGCACAACCCTGAAAGCCAGCCAGTTATCATGGCATAATCCAGAGTAGCTGACCAGAATTCAAATCCATTAGCTGTTCGTTTGACTTTGGGCCTGGCTGTGTTTCATCAGTGTAAATCTAAAACATCCCATTGGCCTGCTCTGCTGAATAAAATGGGCACATTTTTTTTTATTGTCTTAGCTCAGTTGAGTTGCTTAACATGGCTTGAAAAGCATTGTCAAGATGCAGATGTTAATACGAAAAAATTTCCTTAAGCTGCCTTTATTGTCCAGTGGGAGAAACTTAGTCTGCAGCACACAGTCCACATGGCTTCAGATGTTTTCGTTGCAGCTGAACTCTTCCTTTTTAAGATATCTTGGTTTGCAATGCACCTTTCTTGCCCTCAGGACATGCTCATTCATTGCAGCAAAATTACTGGAGTTTTACTGTATTGTAAGGGAGAACAAGATGCCTTTCTCTGTGTTTCACTGCTGGCATGCCAGTAGTTTTTAACCCTTGTAGCATTTGCTTTTCAGTGCTATACAAATATTAGCCGTTATGATGCTGCTATGGCTGGGCTTGTTCCCTGGCTTCCTTAAACGAAATACCACTTAATACCATGAGGTTGCTATAGAGTTGTGAGTAAGCTCCATGCTTGAGGTGAAAAAAAAAACCTTCTCAATGGAAGAAGACAGCAAAATAATTTTTCATGTTATATTGAAGCATCCTAAGTTTTGTGGGTGCCCTTCAAAGCAGCCTTTCTAATTTCACCCCGAGTTTGGATTTTTGTTTGTTAGCAGAAGCCAAAAGCCTGTTTCCAATGTTTTTTTTTTTTTCAACTCTTAAGCAGCTAAACTTTAACAGTCTCTCTGGGATTTCAATTTAAAAAGGTGCTAGTCAAGGAATAGGGTTTCCTTCTCCAAATACTGCTGGGCTTGTTTGTTTGTTCTCTATATTAATCTTCCTTGAGTTTCTATGTGCTAATTCTTATGAGTGTTTGGCCAGATTCCAGTGCTAGTTATAGAAAGAAGAAAACCAGGCATAAATTTTTAAACTTACGGTGTTACTACAGTTAAGCACACTATACCTAAGATTGAAATCTGGCTCAGATGGAAATATCGGCTACAAACAGGAGATTCTGTATTTGTACAAGAAGAAGTGGGAATTTCATTTTGTCCCAGGAAGTGTGGGATTTTAATGTGCCTCAAACTAAAGAGAAATAGCATGTGCAGAATATGGGTTGTAGGGGAAAAAAACATCGTAATAGACTAACATTAGAAACAAGCAATTCATTTAGCTGCTCTGCTCTCTGTGTGTTAATGGTCAGACAACTTTGCATTACTAGGCAAAAACCTCTTCTTACCAGATACTGTCTAATGAAATGGATGATTGAAACAACAGGAACATGTTTCAAGTAGTAAATTGTTTTGTCTGTTTATAGTGGGTTGTGAGTCCAGTTTTAACCAAACTCTGGTTTGGCAAGAAGGTCTGTTTTAGAAAGCATAAGAAAAAGAATTACGTCATTACCCAAATGGTGGAATTAGCAAAATGTAAGCACAAAGAAATTACTCGGTTTCATTTCTGTGAAAATAAGACTTTTAAACAGGAAGATCTTTTGTTATATATTTGTCCATTGTACTCACACATTGCAGCACAAAATTACGTACCTCCAAGTGAAATTACCTAGAAACTCAGCAAAATGAGAGTCACCACTCTGCTTTCACTTCCAAATCAAGAATGATGCACACACAGCATAGATATTAAAATGTTTTCAGTTTTAGTAATCCCAGGTCACCAGCGACATAGAAGGAAATTTTCCTTTTTGCACTGGGAGTCTTACACAGATAATGGTTTCTCGTGAGTTACTTCCATTCTTCGCAGGTATAGTGTTCTTCGCTTTGAGCCTTGAAATTAACTGTCGGTGCAAAGGCTGCTACCTGCCAAGCTACGTGATTTGCAATTGCAGTTTTGTGAACAGCAATGTATGTGCTGCCTTTTCTGCTTGTAGTTACCTGCAAGCATAAAACCATATCCTGGAAAGTAAGAGGCCACGGAAAAGTAGTCTGTTACCAGCATCGGACCAAAGTCTGCATGAGCTTTATGGACTTCAACTGTTTTGATCTTGCTGTGTCCGACTCTGCAGAGCCTGCCTTCGAGCCAAGGACGGGAGATTGCATTGGTGCACGCTGCGTGACAACCCAGATGTGTGGAACAGGCACCGTTCCTTGAATTTCTTTCCAAGATGCACTAGCTCTAGTGCTTTGCACACAGCCAGTGTAAAGCAGAAGAAGTAACAATCAGGGTTATTTCAAAGCATAGATGCGTGATGCTATTAAGTACAAGTTTCAAGACATGCCATTAAGATTTCAGAACCCCGGATCCTTACGTCTGTGTGAATTTCAGTCCATTAGATAGTATCTGAGATGCAGCTGCTTTGTGAAACTTAAGAAATGCACTTGGGGACCCATCCAGTTCAGCATCGAGTTCAATTCATGCAGTTTTCCTTTAAGCAAAATGTAGTTCTGGTGCTGACTTCTTTCAAATAATCAGCTCTCGGCAAAGAAAATTAGCTGAATGCACCAATGTAATTAACCAATTTTCTCCTGTTTAAACACACAAGATTGAAGTTCTTGAAGCATCCACCTTCAAAAGGCACAATTTACGTCACGAAACCTCCAAACCTGCCAGCACTAAGAGGAGGAAGGAAGCTCCAAGAAGAGAGGAAAACCACACAAAGTCTATTGGAAACACTGCATAGCATCACGCCTATCTTAAAAAAGATCTTGTAATAGTGTGTCCTCAAACAGCGTGAGGATTGCTAGCATCTGAAGCAGTCCTCCGCTTAATTCCTCCTCGTTCCTGGGCAGTGTGAGGTTTGCTCTGTGAAGGGTTATAAATCTCGTCCGCGCGGTGTTAGTGGCCGAGGAACCCCCAGGAAGGCTCAGAGCACTTGGGACAATAACCAAGGCTGTTGTCTCTGTACCTATGCCATGCAGGGACAAGCAAACTTTTAGTGATGTGGGACTGGTGAATATGGTAAAAATAAAAAACTTTTGTGGTGGCAAAAGTGGGAAGATTGTTCCAATGCCAAACTGAAACTCGATTTCTCAGCAAGTGAGAACTTAAATTCTGCTTCTGAGTCACTCAGAGATTTTTTTTTCCTTATCTTAATCTGTTTTTATAAAGTTCAAAGTGTAAGAGGGAAATTTTGCTAGTCCCTTTTAACCTAAAGGGACTAAAATATATTTATTTTGTAACCATTAAAGCTGCATTTTAAAAACAGTAAGAGCAGAAATACTCAGCACCATGACTGTGTGCGTGCTGAAAATTTTAGCATCCTTTTTTTTTTTTTTTTGTCTACATTTTTCGCTGCGGGTTATATAAGGGGAAAGCTCTGGTTTCTCCTCCCAGCAAACAAATGGTCCCAGCAGCGGTCCCCGGGGAAGGCCTGGTGGACCCGGGGAGGACGGGCGGTGGGCAGGGTTGGTTCTTCTGTCTCGGTGGCAAAGCAGCTGGGAGCTGCACTGCTGAGAGCCAGCTCTTCTGCTGGGCACCCCCAGCTGTCTCTGCAAAAACTGCCCTTGGGAGACGAGAGTTTCATCAGTAATTAAGGAACATGTGAATATTGAGCTAATTTAGCATTTGCACTTTCTCACACATTTTAATGTCTCTGAAGCGGGGGGGTGTGGGGAGGTTACTTGGTGAAAATAGACCTG